TTTTGGCAGGACGGAGCGTAAAGATACCAAGAGGAGAATGATAGAAAAAAAAACAATCGTTGTTGTCGATGAGATATATTTGCGTGTGTTGGGGAGGAGGGAAATATAAAGTTGAACAGTGTGGAAAATGCATATTGCACATGCTACAAATATAGATGACTTGTGGATTAGAAGCGATGCTTGTAGTGATGTCGTGACAAAAGACAAGTTGTACAATAATTGTAAACGTTTAAGATATAGTACAAGTGTATGATAATTTCTATCAAACGTCCTTGTTTTTCCCTACCAAGTACATTTTAGCTCTTCTTCCTGGTTACAGATTTTACCACTACCATTTACCACTGTGTCTATTTTAAAGGATATAGAATAAGTGGTAAGGATGTAGAATAAGTGGTGAGCATTTAGAATAAGTGGTGAGGATGTAGAATAAGTGGTAAGGATACAGAATAAGTGGTAATGATATAGAATAAGTGGTAATAATAAAGAATAAGTGGTAAAGATGTAGAATAAGTGGTAATAATATAGAATAAGTGGTGAGGATGTAGAATAAGTGATGAGAATATAAAATAAGTGGTAAGGATACAGAATAAGTGGTAATGATATGGTTAGGATGTAGAATAAGTGGTAAGGATGTAGAATAAGTGATGAGAATATAGAATAAGTGGTAATGATGTAGAATAAGTGGTGAGAATATAAAATAAGTGGTAAGGATACAGAATAAGTGGTTAGGATGTAGAATAAGTGGTGAGAATATAGAATAAGTGGTGAGGATGTAGAATAAGTGGTGAGAATATAAAATAAGTGGTAAGGATACAGAATAAGTGGTTAGGATGTAGAATAAGTGGCGAGAATATAGAATAAGTGGTAATGATATAGAATAAGTGGTAAGGATGTAGAATAAGTGGTGAGAATATAGAATAAGTGGTTATGATATAAAATAAGTTGTAAGGACACAACATATGAAGTACACATTTTTTAATTCTTTGGCATTTTAGATTTTCGTTACTCTCTATGGAATTTTATAGACTCATGAACTGATCTGATTGGTTCACCTTGCCATTTTGTCCCAACAGCTGCAGTCTATGTTAGATATAATATGTTAGAAAGACGTGTTTTATTGTGATTAAATGTAGAGGAAAGCGAAGAAAAGATGTTAAACTTGCGGCATGAAGATAATCCCCACCTGATGCTGTTTTTAAAAGTTCTCGACATTATAAAAAAACAAAACTTCGTGTAATACATTTCTGATTTATATCCTAATTTGTTACAAACTACTTTAGTTTTGCTATACAAGCAGTCTTTCAGTTTTTGTGTCTACTAATGAGAAAGTTGTAATCTTACTAAAGAAAACAATAGAACTTATCACTTTGCATAAACAAAAAGACATCTTGATCGCTAACCAACATTATATAGGAACATTACAAAATACAAAAGTAAAAAAAAAAAAAAAAAAACAAAAAAAAAAAAAAAAAAAAAAAGCAGAACAAGGAAGAAGAATTCTTACAATGATATCCTTTACATGAAGCCGTAACGTTCTTACAATGATATCCTTTACATGAAGCCGTAACGTTCTTACAATGATATCCTTTACATGAAGTCGTAACGTTCTTACAATTATATCCTTTACATGAAGCCGTAACGTTCTTACAATGATATCCTTTACATGAAGCCGTAACGTTCTTACAATTATATCCTTTACATGAAGCCGTAACGTTCTTACAATGATATCCTTTACATGAAGCCGTAACGTTCTTACAATGATATCCTTTACATGAAGCCGTAACGTTCTTACAATGATATCCTTTACATGAAGCCGTAACGTTCTTACAATGATATCCTTTACATGAAGTCGTAACGTTCTTACAATTATATCCTTTACATGAAGCCGTAACGTTCTTACAATGATATCCTTTACATGAAGCCGTAACGTTCTTACAATTATATCCTTTACATGAAGCCGTAACGTTCTTACAATGATATCCTTTACATGAAGCCGTAACGTTCTTACAATGATATCCTTTACATGAAGCCGTAACGTTCTTACAATGATATCCTTTACATGAAGCCGTAACGTTCTTACAATGATATCCTTTACATGAAGTCGTAACGTTCTTACAATGATATCCTTTACATGAAGCCGTAACGTTCTTACAATGATATCCTTTACATGAAGCCGTAACGTTTCAGCATCCCGTGTTTGCTGTTCACTATACATTATGTGATGTAATGCTGAGTCTGCGGGGGTCATAATCTAGGTCATGTATATCTGCCCTGCATCCGTCTGCACACTTACAAAATGTAGAACTTTTCTGAACCCTGTCTCACACGATAGATAAGGTTCCATAGTCTCCAGAGCGTTTTAGATTTCAACACTTACGTTTAAAATGTCATGATGTTCAGTCTTTTCCAATTGTTCTGGTACGAGTGATTGTTTGGTACTGTGAAGTTCCGACATAAGCTTATTTTGTTGATGGTGACTTAAGCTAACTAATCACTTCCTCATCAACTTAATCCCCTTTTCTAAACACAACCACAACACGTCTTATAATTCCCTGCTGAACGTTGCAAGCTCTGGCAGTGTAATAACTTGTTTTTTAATGATCAACTGGTTTAATTTGCAGGCGTTAAAACACTTGTTTGTGTAATGCAATATTTCTCGTAATGATACCAAGTAGGTCACTAAATTCAGTATTTATCTGCACATTCGTTTTACTCATGGAAACCACATGTTGTGACTATTTAATTCATTCTTCATTAAAAAAACATGGCAACTTGAAGGGAAATAAAATTCTTTTAAGAAAAGACATAAATAATGATATCACCAGACAAAACAGAAGCTAGACAATCTCTAGCTAGTACTGCAGCCAATACTTAGACGCGAGAATCAGGATATTGAAGAAACGGTGCCTAATATAATGTATGTAATTGTGTTGCTAGTTGTTTTACTGTTAATTTAAGTTGACACTTCGTTGTTAAAACTTTGTATTGAAATCTGCACATTCTTTTCAAAAAAAGTAAATATCCACATGTTTGAAATGTCTTTACTCAAATTCGCAATCACTGAAACAAAGGTAATTCATTAGCAAAAGAAGGAAGACACAGGCACAAGTGGGACAATATTGGCTATATTTATCGTTTCGTCGTCAATACCATTATTTAAGATATAATGTCACCTTTTTCATAGGAAAACTAGCTTTCGAACTGAACTTCATATTGCATAAAAATTGCTCTCGAGAGTGTGAAGGAAACCAAAGCTTTTCTTCATGGCTTTCGTCGACCTGCATCTCTCGATCACTGTGTTTATCTGTCGACACCTAACACAGGAATTGGGATTGAGACTACGACATGGGTTTGGGGAAGCAGGATTGTTATTACCTAAGAATGGCAAATTCTTAAAACGGAATTTTAAATCACCACGCTTGACATACAGATTAGTGGAAAAGGTCTCATAGCATATTGTGTTGTAAGTAAGGAAGGCAATGAAGACATGTTTATCTCAACAATAACATCTTATTATGTGTATCTTAACGTAAAATCGGATGACTTAGCAAAATCTTTTGATTTGTTTTAAAATGTTTTTCAGCTTTTGATTTTTAACTCTTTGAACAACTTGGTTGTTATGAACTATTATGACCTTTTGACTAATCTTCAATATCCTTTTCTAAAAAGCATTTCTGCTATAAGAACATTAACGTTTACCGCTCTGTACACCACAATACTCCAATCTTGACTGAAAAAACCGTCTTCGTTCTCTTGGTATGAGAGCTTCCTGTTTCCAAGGAAAGTGAACGACATCACAGATATAAGGTTGTGAACTATGCTCTAGTAAACTTCATGAAAATAAAATCAAAGTAGATCTATATGGAGGAAGGAAACTTGATAGTGATCGATTTCTGGTTGACAATGGATATATTCGGAGAGTCCGGTGGTAATATATTCCAATAGACATTTGGCTTACCAATAAGACCTAACTTTTCCCGTTAACTAACTTTAAGACGATTTCCCTGCACCCCAACTTGTAGCTTCAAATGTCAGAACTGATTCCATATTCAAAGGCTTTTTCCTAATATCGCGATTTTCTTGTATGTTGTCAACAATTGACAGATAAACACACACCACAAAGGTTGGAGAGATACTCTTATTTAGGAACATGTACTTCAGTTGACAATGGCTTGTGTCGTTGATGAAGCAGAAGACGCGTGCTCTTCCGGAACACTTTTATTATCTTATTGAATCATGGGTGTAAACTTCTTTGTTATCAATAGATATTAAAGTTTGAACTCCGGGGGAAAACCTCTTTGTTATCAAAATATATCAAAAGTTTGAGCCCTTGGTATAAAATTCTTTGTTATCAATAGATATTAAAAGTGGGAACCCTTGGTATGAACTTCATTATTATCAATACATATCAAAGTTTGAACCCTTCGATATAAACTTTAATGTTTCAATAGACATTGAAACTTGAACCGTCTGTATAAAACATCAGTAATTGCAATTATTTATCGGAGCTTAGAGAGATTGAACGCTATATTGTTTTTTGGCGATATTTGAGATAGGACCCTTAACATCAACTTAATTGTACTTTTCCGCAGAGAAAATGTTTCCAAACGTAACAAAGATTTTAATCACTGTTACGCAGGCCAATTACGTCTCCTTAACTCCAATTTCTCCCATACGAAATTTTTACGTTGGTATGCAATTGTAATGTGCATGCTGACCTTTGATCTAAGATTGATCTCCCCTACCCTATCGCGGGCACGTGAGAAGTAACAGGTGGTAACGACTACTTGAACCAAATGTACGCGCAATAGGTATTTTGGCAAAGAGAGCAAGTTCAACTATTAGACACTTATGAAATCGTGCAGTTAACACTCTTGGCCGCACGAGCTGCGCGGGAGGCCGTGTGTGGAGTGCAGCGCCGAGTCAGCGCCAGTGATAGATATTTATGATAAATTAGCGACAATTATGCCCGACGCTAGCGAATCGGAGGTATTTCTATACTCGCTGCCAAGACTTGTGTTTACAGAAGAATCGGTGAACAGTCGGCCTACCGCTCCATCACAAACCCCTCGGCCTCCCCACGCTCTACCGCCAACAAACACGTTAACATTCTCTGTCCAATCACGTGACCAAATGCGTCTCTAGCTATGTGTGGTCACGTGACCTCCGTTATGTGTATGATGACCAGTATACTGGTCGCAGCATCGTGTGTCCGTGACTGCTCCTCGCCTCCGACTGACATGGAGAGTTACTCCTCTCGGCTAGAGAAGTTTAAAGCAACGCAGGTTATCAAGACCCGAATTCTTGGCGGACTCGGTTACAACGACCGGCCGTTCCCTGCCACTTCATTAAAGAAGTCGTCTGCTTGTCAACTTTTGAATATTGTCAATGATGAATCAACGAAGACCGACTCGCCAAAGGGAGATTACTACGCCGAATTGCAGGAAGTGATCAGCTTTTCCGAACCGGCAGGTATGCACATTTTCTATTCAATACTATACAAATTCTGCAAATTCTCGTTTTGTGTTATCTTTATCATGAACACAGACAAGACCATATCATATCGTTAATAAATAGAAAGTATACATAACATATAATTGATTTTCATTGTATCGAGTTCATAACAATAAACTAATAGTTTATAAAATAGTGGTGTGTACTCTTCAGTAGTACTAATAAAATCGATCACGATTTAATCCCACCGGGTATCGGTACCCTGCTGTCAGAACTGGCATGTGCATGTCTAAGGAATGAAATTTCGGGAGAGGGTGTGATATATACAGTCAGGTGGTATATAAATATCATATAATAAAAATATTCGTAGACAACAAGCTGGTAAATTACGAAAGTCGTGAAATTAAGCGTAGGAGGGTTTTTCTCCAAAATCTACACTTTCGCCCTCAAACTCGCGCTAAAGAATTCAGCTGAGTAGGACATTTCGCCCCAGGGGTGGTGGGAATATAGGCCGTTAAAATAAGAACTCGGAGATTTAAAATAGAATGAAAACTTCATGAATCTTGCAATATAAATTGCTTGAGTTTTTTTGTTATAGATTGTGGATTTAGATAATGTACCCATGATGAACCATCTAGTGATATATAAACATATTTCATACCGAGTCTTACATATTGGAATAGAGAATAGCTTATGTACCCATGATGAATCATCTAGTGATATATAAACACATTTCATACCGAGTCTTACATGTTGGAATAGAGAATCAGTCTTAAAATTATTACAAAAGAAAATTCATACTCAAAATTCGATAAAGGCAAAATATGAACGAGACAAACAATTATCCCTGATGAAGCACGCGGAAGCTATCACTAGCTATCCTGGAAGGGAAAGCGTCTTGCGCTTCATTGACGAATCCGGCCATTTGGCCAATTCAAGTAAGTAATGTTAAATGCCCAACGAGAAGAAGGTGAGCAACGACGGAGTGTTATGAGTTCATCTCTAGGTCACAATAACCGTGATAGTAGTATTCAACTACTATGGGTAACATCTTGGACTGGGAAAGCAGCGGTGTTGTTATATAGAAATGGCAAATTTACAATAGGGAAATTGAAATCATGACGATTATCAGATATTGGTCGCCCTCGTTATATTCTGTTGTAAAGTTATAAGACTTTGTAGCCTGTTTGTGTCACCTCTATGTAACCAGCTAAGAAAGGGGTAAAATTTGTCTCCATAGGTATCTTAACAGTCTGTTGGAATGTCTTACTATCGAACTCGAAGAAGATCTTGTCAACTTATCAATTTTAATGTATGACGAGGCATCAAATAGGGCAAATAGTAATGATACTATTGTCTTTTCCACAGCTCTTCATTCTTTTATGAATCTAACCTTTGTTCATTGTCCAATGTTCATTTATTTAGTTGGCCTTTTGTACGGGAAGATGTGAACCCATTCCTTATCATTGTTGACAAAGTGGACAAGAATAAGGAGCATTGCGTCCTGTTGATGTCATGGTTACCTTATAAGGTGATGGTGGCATTTTCACCTTATATGTAGTATAATTAAATATTTCAAATATCCCTATGATCACAAGGTTTGCTGATTCCCAGACTCACTGAAGCCTAACAACAAATAGCAACCTCTTCTAACAAGCAAAATATGTCAACTCTCTCCCTTGTAGGTTTTGTGATATCAAAGACATAAATGCATTCGCCTGACTCCGACGTTAAGAGGCTCAACTTACTTTGTGAAATACAAGTAAATGGTCTCTATTTTTTGTTAATAGTGACTATCATCTTAACTTAAATATGATAAAATGAACATTTTCGTCCAATTTCCTTGTGTGTACTTACTTCTTTTGTTAACAGTAAAGTGGTGATACGAACTATGATACATAGAAAAAGTAAAGTTGTATTAGTAACACAAGTAAACAACAGCACCATATTAACGGAGTAAACTTGCATCACATTTTCTTTTCCAGATAGTTTCCATGACGATAACATAATACAGTTCAAGGTGGTCAGAGACAGTCAAGGGAGAAAACTCGAGGTAAAAAGTGCCAATGTACTTGTGAAACTCAAATACAGAGGATCTAAGAAACGAAGTCGATCATCTTGTAAAACAAAGAGCAGACGTTCTTATGTCAAAAAAAAGCATCGTCGGTCAGGGTGTCAAATAACTATTGTATTGTCCACTGTGGGAGAGGACGGAACACCCGGAAAGGCAGTGACGTCATTACGAGCTGATGTCAAGAAAACACACTGGTTTAAATTAGGAATTCCAAAACAACTTGTAGAAAGTGCAATGCTTTCAAAAAATCAAATTTTAAAACTGCATATTCTGTGTCGTGGGTGTAGACGACGTGTTCAACTTGTTCTTGTTCACGGAAGTAAACGACGGCGAAAGTCAAAGGGAGACAAACGGAAGGGATCAATGCGAGTGATGCGCCCTCGCAAACGACCCAGAAGACGACTCAGCCGGACACGCCCTTTCCTGATTTTGCATACAAAGGTGGAAACATATATTCGGTCTCGCCGTGAGACTTCCGGTAATGAAAACACATGTACGGGACAGGATATGTGTTGTAAGTCTGACCTTGTGTTTAATTTTCATGAGATAGGCTGGAATGACTGGATTTTGTATCCGGCCTCGTTCACGACCGGTATATGTTCAGGGGGATGCCCATTCGTCCCGCTAGGGCATCGGGACCAGACAACATTAGAACATGCACACTGTAATGCTACTCAACTTGCACCACTGCGGATGATGTATTATGATACAAGTGGAAGTATACTGACGAGTTCCATACCTAATATGATAGTGGAGAGGTGTGGGTGTCGATAAACATAGAATCCTGTCCACTTATGTCTACCACAACCGAAAATTTCTGTCTCTGAAATTCTACTTTCATAACCATAACGAATAAGACATAAAAACTGAATATATAATTATTTATCATGAAAGTAAGCTTGAAATTCTTATATCACAGCCAGGAATTTTCGTCTAGTAGTAGGCATACAGTATGTTTTAGCCAAAATGTTGTTTGAAGTGGAGCTATTATGAGAGATAAAGATCGAAACGTTAGTGTGTTATTCTGTATTTGTGAAAAACGACACCTGTTAAACGGGCTACATCTTATCAGTAGCTGTAGTTTACTGTGACAATACTTGTGGTAGAGCTTCTTGGTATGGCAAAAAGTATCCACAAGTTCGTACCACTTAATAACATGTCAACGTTTCTACATAAGAAAAATACCTATTACATCGTGCCATTCCACTGCGTTAGCTTCAATATATTGTCTAACATTCGTCCTTTCTTCAGCAGCATCCATCTCGTTCTCGATCTGTACTAAGTCAAAGTAAACATCAGCCTCTTAAATCTTACTGTAGATCTCCCATTTCGGACAATTCCTGGTTAGGATTTGTCTTCTATCACATCCTATCACAATATCTCTTCCTATCATAACTTCTGTAATCACATCCTATCACAATTTCTCTTCCTATCATAACTTCTGTAATCACATCCTATCACAATTTCTATCTCTATCATAACTTCTGTAATCACATCCTATCACAATTTCTCTTCCTATCATAACTTCTGTAATCACATCCTATCACAATTTCTATCTCTATCATAACTTCTGTAATCACATCCTATCACAATATCTCTTCCTATCATAACTTCTGTAATCACATCCTATCACAATTTCTATCTCTATCATAACTTCTGTAATCACATCCTATCACAATTTCTATCTCTATCATAACTTCTGTAATCACATCCTATCACAATATCTCTTCCTATCATAACTTCTGTAATCACATCCTATCACAATTTCTGTCTCTATCATAACTTCTGTAATCACATCCTATCACAATTTCTCTTCCTATCATAACTTCTGTAATCACATCCTATCACAATTTCTATCTCTATCATAACTTCTGTAATCACATCCTATCACAATTTCTATCTCTATCATAACTTCTGTAATCACATCCTATCACAATCTATCATAACTTCTGTAATTCTCACAATATCTCTTCTCTATCATAACTTCTGTAATCACATCCTATCACAATTTCTATCTCTATCATAACTTCTGTAATCACATCCTATCACAATTTCTGTCTCTATCATAACTTCTGTAATCACATCCTATCACAATTTCTGTCTCTATCATAACTTCTGTAATCACATCCTATCACAATTTCTGTCTCTATCATAACTTCTGTAATCACATCCTATCACAATTTCTATCTCTATCATAACTTCTGTAATCACATCCTATCACATCTTCCTATCATAACTTCTGTAACATCCTATCACAATTTCTCTTCCTATCATAACTTCTGTAATCACATCCTATCACAATTTCTATCTCTATCATAACTTCTGTAATCACATCCTATCACAATTTCTCTTCCTATCATAACTTCTGTAATCACATCCTATCACAATTTCTGTCTCTATCATAACTTCTGTAATCACATCCTATCACAATTTCTCTTCCTATCATAACTTCTGTAATCACATCCTATCACAATTTCTATCTCTATCATAACTTCTGTAATCACATCCTATCACAATTTCTCTTCCTATCATAACTTCTGTAATCACATCCTATCACAATTTCTCTTCCTATCATAACTTCTGTAATCACATCCTATCACAATAACTTCTGTAATTCCTATATAACTTCTGTAATCACATCCTATCACAATTTCTCTTCCTATCATAACTTCTGTAATCACATCCTATCACAATTTCTCTTCCTATCATAACTTCTGTAATCACATCATATCACAATATCTCTTCCTATCATAACTTCTGTAATAATCACAATCCTATCATAACTTCACAATTTCAATTTCTCTTCTCTATCATAACTTCTGTAATCACATCCTATCACAATATCTCTTCTCTATCATAACTTCTGTAATCACATCCTATCACAATCCTATCATAACTTCTGTAATCACATCCTATCACAATTTCTCTTCCTATCATAACTTCTGTAATCACATCCTATCACAATTTCTATCTCTATCATAACTTCTGTAATCACATCCTATCACAATTTCTGTCTCTCTTCCTATCATAACTTCTGTAATCACATCCTATCACAATCATCTTCTGTAATCACATCCTATCACAATTTCTCTTCCTATCATAACTTCTGTAATCACATCCTATCACAATTTCTCTTCTCTATCATAACTTCTGTAATCACATCCTAATCTATCATAACTTCTGTAATCACATCCTATCACAATTTCTTCATAACTTCTGTAATCACATCCTATCACTTCTTCCTATCATAACTTCTGTAATCACATCCTATCACACTTTCTGTCTCTCTCATAACTTCTGTAATCACATCCTATCACAATTTCTGTCTCTATCATAACTTCTGTAATCACATCCTATCACAATTTCTGTCTCTATCATAACTTCTGTAATCACATCCTATCACAATTTCTGTCTCTATCATAACTTCTGTAATCACATCCTATCACAATTTCTATCTCTATCATAACTTCTGTAATCACATCCTATCACAATTTCTGTCTCTATCATAACTTCTGTAATCACATCCTATCACAATTTCTCTTCCTATCATAACTTCTGTAATCACATCCTATCACAATTTCTGTCTCTATCATAACTTCTGTAATCACATCCTATCACAATTTCTGTCTCTATCATAACTTCTGTAATCACATCCTATCACAATTCTCTTCTCTATTTCTGTCTCTCATAACTTCTGTAATCACATCCTATCACAATTTCTCTTCCTATCATAACTTCTGTAATCACATCCTATCACAATTTCTCTTCCTATCATAACTTCTGTAATCACATCCTATCACAATTTCTCTTCCTATCATAACTTCTGTAATCACATCCTATCACAAATCTCTATCATAACTTCTGTAATCTACACTAATTTCTCTTCCTATCATAACTTCTGTAATCACATCCTATCACAATTTCTGTCTCTATCATAACTTCTGTAATCACATCCTATCACAATTTCTGTCTCTATCATAACTTCTGTAATCACATCCTATCACAATTTCTCTTCCTATCATAACTTCTGTAATCACATCCTATCACAATTTCTCTTCCTATCATAACTTCTGTAATCTATCATAACTTCTGTAATCACATCCTATCACAATTTCTTCTCTATCATAACTTCTGTAATCATCATAACTTCTGTAATCACATCCTATCACATTTCTCTTATCTATCATAACTTCTGTAATCACATCCTATCACAATTTCTGTCTCTATCATAACTTCTGTAATCACATTCTATCACAATTTCTCTTCCTATCATAACTTCTGTAATCACATCCTATCACAATTTCTGTCTCTATCATAACTTCTGTAATCACATCCTATCACAATTTCTCTTCCTATCATAACTTCTGTAATCACATCCTATCACAATTTCTCTTCCTATCATAACTTCTGTAATCACATCCTATCACAATTTCTATCTCTATCACAATATCTCTTCCTATCATAACTTCTGTAATCACATCCTATCATAACTTCTGTAATCACATCCTATCACAATTTCTGTCTCTATCATAACTTCTGTAATCACATCCTATCACAATTTCTCTTCCTATCATAACTTCTGTAATCACATCCTATCACAATTTCTCTTCCTATCATAACTTCTGTAATCATCTCTATCATAACTTCTGTAATCACATCCTATCACAATTTCTCTTCCTATCATAACTTCTGTAATCACATCCTATCACAATTTCTCTTCCTATCATAACTTCTGTAATCACATCCTATCACAATTTCTGTCTCTATCATAACTTCTGTAATCACATCCTATCACAATTTCTGTCTCTATCATAACTTCTGTAATCACATCCTATCACAATTTCTGTCTCTATCATAACTTCTGTAATCACATCCTATCACAATTTCTCTTCCTATCATAACTTCTGTAATCACATCCTATCACAATTTCTCTTCCTATCATAACTTCTGTCACAATCACATTTCCTATCATAACTTCTGTAATCAATCCTATCACAATTTCTATCATCTTCTGTAATCACATCCTATCACAATTTCTCTTCCTATCATAACTTCTGTAATCACATCCTATCACAATTTCTCTTCCTATCATAACTTCTGTAATCACATCCTATCACAATTTCTCTTCCTATCATAACTTCTGTAATCACATCCTATCAATAACTTCTGTAATCACATCCTATCACAATTTCTCTTCCTATCATAACTTCTGTAATCACATCCTATCACAATTTCTCTTCCTATCATAACTTCTGTAATCACATCCTATCACAATTTCTCTTCCTATCATAACTTCTGTAATCACATCCTATCACAACAATTTCTCTATTCCTATCATAACTTCTGTAATCACATCCTATCACAATTTCTCATCCTATCATAACTTCTGTAATCACATCCTATCATCTATCATAACTTCTGTAATCACATCCTATCACAATTTCTCTTCCTATCATAACTTCTGTAATCACATCCTATCACAATTTCTCTTCCTATCATAACTTCTGTAATCACATCCTATCACAATTTCTCTTCCTATCATAACTTCTGTAATCACATCCTATCACAATTTCTCTTCCTATCATAACTTCTGTAATCACATTCTATCACAATTTCTCTTCCTATCATAACTTCTGTAATCACATCCTATCACAATATCTCTTCCTATCATAACTTCTGTAATCACATCCTATCACAATTTCTCTTCCTATCATAACTTCTGTAATCACATCCTATCACAATTTCTCTTCCTATCATAACTTCTGTAATCTATCACAATTTCATCCTATCATAACTTCTGTAATCACATCCTATCACAATTTCTCATCCTATCATAACTTCTGTAATCACATCCTATCACAATTTCTCTTCCTATCATAACTTCTGTAATCACATCCTATCACAATTTCTCTTCCTATCATAACTTCTGTAATCACATCCTATCACAATTTCTCTTCCTATCATAACTTCTGTAATCACATCCTATCACAATTTCTCTATCTATCATAACTTCT